CGCTCAGATGCCCGTGAAAGGCATCGCCACCCACCGTCCATCTGCGTCGGAGCGGCCATTGGCGGAGCCCCGAACCGGAGCCAGGGCCTGGCCCTGCAGTCGGCTCCCTGGGTCGCCTTGCGCTGAGCGTTCCCGTGGGGAGCAGGGCCTCCTTCAGACGGTGTCGCTTCCTTCCGCTGCTCACCGCCCCCCCTCCCTGTGGCTCCTCAGGGACTGTCTTGTGTTGAACCCCCTGTAGGGTAGCCCGGTGGCGTCCAGCTCCTGCCCGGGTGCGGGGTCTTCTCTGCTCTTGTGAGTGGGCTCCCTCCTCCATAACGGCCCCATTCATGCCTATTGTTTGTGCTTATGAGGCCTCTGATCTCTAAAAAAAATCACCTTTATTCAGCATTGAATGACACACATGGTGAGGAGGTTGACCAAGTCCCGCGCCCTGGTCACCGGTCAGAAGCCCTGCCTCGCTCTGCGGGCGCCCTCCATCTGCTCTGCTGAGAGAATCCGTCCACCCAGCTCCCCTTGGAGCTGCAGGGCGGCCTTCCACGGAGCCGCTCACCGGTCCATCCGGAGCCTTATCATCACCCCCAGGAGAACCCTGCCCCGTCAGCACTCACTGCTTCTCACCGCCCCCCTCACCCCACCCCTGAGCCCAAGCAAGCACCAGACTCCTTTCTGCCTCCATAGCTTTGCCTGCTCTGGACATCTCTACTAATAAAAGGGCAATATGCTAATTAGACCGGGAGACCTTCCCGACATCCTTCCGGACAAAGCCATGGTGGCAGGGCCCAGGCAGAGGCGGTTAGGGGTGATCAGGCCAGCAGTGGGGGGTAGTTGCAGGCAATCAGGCCCACAGGGGCAGGGGGGCAGTTGGGGGCCAGCAGGCAGAGTGGTTAGGGGCCATCGGGCGGGCAGGCAGGTGAGCGGTTAGGAGCCACGGTCCCGGATTGTGAGAGGGATGTCGGACTGCCGGGTTAGGCCCGATCCCACAGGCCGGCTATCCCCCGAGGGGTCCCAGATTGGAGAGGCTGCAGGCCAAGCTGAGGGACACCCCCCTTGTGCGCGAATTAGACCAGACAGCCAAACGACTTTCTGGACGTCCTTCCTGACAACCTTCCGGACGAAGCCAGGGCTGCGAGGGCCGAGCCCCTTGCTGCACGAATTCTGTGCATCAGGCCTCTAGTTTCATATAAGTCAAATCCTACGATATGTCAGTTTTCCTGATTGGCTTCTTTCACTTAGCCTAGTGATTTTTGTATGTTAATTTCAGATCCTTGTACTTCACTGAATTCTTTTATTATTAGAGTTAGTGTTATTGTTGATATGCATTTTCCAGGCATACTATTATTTATAAACAGAATTTTTTTTTTACCCATTGTTAGGCCTGCAATAGATTTGGTATTACCTAGTGATCAGCAATATACCAACAATTGTAAAAATTCCCACAGAGAGCTCGAGAGACCCTCATAGTTGTCTCTGTTCTCAGGATAGCGCCTCCTTTAAAATACGTACTGACCTTGATGTTTCACTTTCTTTTTTAACGATTAGGTTTAACCCAGAAGACGTTAGCTAAAAAGTTTGAGTTTCCCATACATTTCAATGGAGCTTCCAAAGTAATGAAGAAAAAGAAAAAGGTATATTATAGAACCGGGGGATGAGCAGTGTTGAATTTTAGATTAAGCTCTCTAAATACAAATGTGTGAATATGCTCAAGACAGTACAAATAGTGCCATCTTTTGAAAAGTTTAATTTACTGAAATGAGAAAGTAGAAGTAATTTATCAGAAATGGAATTTGGTTTGGAAATACTTATTAACAATAAAGACTAGTCCTTGTGTTTGAAGGTTTATACCTCCAAAGGTTTTATAACACATTTTAATCAAAATGTAACCCACCGGGAGATTTTTCAGAGCATTAAAATATATGTCCTATAGACTGTAACAAACTCTGATGGATAACATAGGAGAAAATCATGGATTTCACAGAAAAGAATGTATCTATTGGGTCATGTTGCTTTTTTAAAGACAAGGAACATACATTAAGCATCTGGCAGGAAAGCGGACAAGGACGAACCGTTAGTGCTGAATCTTTTCCCCTCTGGCCCAAAGGTCATGGTAACCTGAATGTTTAAACATATTTAAGATCATTTGCTCATCTTTCATTTCCACCATATACTTTATACTTCAGTTTAAAGAAATGGTTAGTTAATAACGGCACATAAAGTAATATTTTCTGAGCTTAGTGTGTGAGTTGTAGTTTACATATAGTATAAAATAGCATTCAAGGTGACTAACCCTTGCAGCAAATGTATTTTGAATTTCCCACTAGAAATATTTTTTCCAAGAACCAATTCCTCTTGGGTGAGGAGAAAAGAGCAATGGCCAATATTATGACTATTGTGTACCAGACACGGTGCGTGCTTTACAAATATTTTTCATTAATTCTAATAATCGGATGTTTGAGGTTTTTCTTGGATGAGATTAAAACACTTGCCCAGTGCCAAGTAACAGCGAGGGGCAAAGCCAGAGTCTGAGCCGAGGTCTGTGTTCTTGCTTCTGTGGTCCTCACTCTCCATTCGAGGACACTCATGCTCTAGTCGTTTGGCTTTGGCGTGTCTTAGTAGAAGTGTTTCTTATCTAAAATAAAACACGTCAAAATGAAATTACTGCCCACTGGCTTAGACGTAGAAATAGAAATTCATTATTTTTATTATCTTTTGAAACAAAATCGAATGTGTTGGAACTATTTAGGTAGAGCTTCGTAGACATGACCTTAGAGAGGAAACTCCATCCAGGACAGGTGCTTTAATACAAAGAGGAATGCTGGGAAGCTGGGCAGAGAAATCAGAATTCAGTGATCACGGAAGACCGTTACATTTAAGTTTTGAGTCTCTAAGTGCTAATATTGCTTTATAATTATAATATCAATTGACATGCAGCACAGTTGAGTCACTCCCAGTCGCCTCCATCAAAATGTAGGTTCTTAGTACAGTCACTCGATAACAACATCTATTTTGACAGTAAATCTGCAGAATTTAATTTTGCCTTTCTGCTCAGTGTTCCTAACCTGTACTTATCTTTTTTTAAGGTTTCAGTGTGGAAAAAAGTACACAAAGTCATTTCTAGAATGCTCAAAGAAAACGAAAAATATAGACTCAGGCTGAAATGCCAACGATTAGCTGGTGAAAGTAAGTTATAATATTTATTGTATTAAAGGACTGGCTTCTATAACAGTTTAGTTTCCCTGGATCACATGAGAACAGTACTTTTCCTAATTGTCATGCAAGGTACAGAACTCTGGAAACGAGGCTAACCACTGTTCATCATCATTAAAAGTACAGCAAACAGCACAGCCGTGAGGTAGAGTAGAGGCCGGAGGAGGCGGGAGTGGAGGGCTGCAGAGGTGAATGCTGACGGGAATTTAGTGAACAAGGGAGCACGCTTACCTCTTAGATCTGAATTTCAATGCCAACCTTTAATACAGATTACAAAGCTGATCCCTAGTGACGAAGGAAGACACTGTCAGCAATGTAAATTATATGTCACTTTACATAGTCACATGGGTGCTGCCATCTAACTTAATGCATTTGGCAAAACCTGCCCTTGAGCTGTGGCCTTGATGTCACTTCATTCCTGGGAAACATCTTGTAGATTAAACCAGGTGCTAAAGCTGCATCAATATTGAGTTCCATGCTGTGGCCAGAGCAACACTAGATGTGATCTAGTACATTCATTAAAGTAATTGGATTCACACGCAATTAAGTTGGATAAAAATCTCTGCGTATGTAACTAATAATGCCACACAGATTGATAATCATAATAGTTATTTTCTTTCCTTCACATGCATGTCCTATCACACGTGTTAACAGGCTGGATGCTTCTGTAGGTTCTTAGTACAGTCACTTGATGACAATGTCTATTTTGACAGTAAATCTGCAGAGTTTAATTTTCTGAAGAATATTTTCAAACAATAATAATTAGAAACGGAACACCGTTTTGTAAACAATGTGACACTAGAAACTCATTACTGTTTGTGTAATAGTGCACCAATAATGGCAGAAATTGTTCGCAATTATGGCATATATGCTAGTGTTCAGATTAGTGATGCTCTATTTTACTTTTCTTACCCAATTAAGAAAGAGAATGAATGGAGCAGGAGAGTGATTAGGAGAAAAAAGTAGTCAGTGGTGTCTTAGGGGAAAGGATGTTTGAATAAGCGGCGCCCTGTGCAAAAACCCGGACCTTGTTCTGAATGTTAGTCCAGATCCAGTAACTTGAATAAACATGCTGGGTCAGATCTAGTCTTGCTCTGGCCGTAACCTTGAACTTGCGGGTTCTCTTGTGCCTTAGCAAGAGGCTTTCTATTAACCATTAAACACTCTTGTAAGGATTGTTTAACAACTTAAAATAATATGCTGTGTTTTTCAGAAACAGCCTCTTACAAACAAAAGATATCCTTGTAATTCGTTATTACAATTTTAAACCAGATTACAAAAACTAATAATCCCGCCTTTAAGATGTATTATAACTTATTCCCTAATATGCATTTATTAATGGGAAAACCTTTCCTAGAGGCCCACTTGAATTTCCTTATATTTTATATTGTTTCTAGACTGAGATTACACAAGATGAATCTTCTCATCGTCTTCTGGTAAGAATCTATTTTGATAACAATTATAAAGTATAGACTTTAACCCTTTGAGTGCCAACCAATATCCTAGGAACTATGCTAAAATTGCCAAGGCATTTTTGCTGATTTTACAAGCAGTTTAGGAAAAAAATTATGAATCGCAAGTAAATGAAGTTACATATTCAAAAACTTAAGGAAACCTTTACTACATTTGTTTTCATCTTTGACATATATTGTTTGCTGATTGTATTATAAAATACTAGTAGAAAAAAATTTGAACAAAACATATAATGTTAAAATAGAGGGACACCCTTCTCCAATATCTTCTACAAAATCATCATCTTCACAGCAAGAATTGACATATTTAGCAATATCATCATCACTAATAAAAGCAGACTTAGAACTGGACACCATTTCAAAGCTTTAGGGCTACAAATTCTGAGTAAACTTTATAAAATCGTAGTACCTGTAAAAAATTAGGCAGATAAATGCCAGTGGTCAATTTTAGAACTACAAACATTCGGCATCATAAGTAATCTGCACTTAGGTGCCATCTGTCAATAAAGAGTGAACTACTAGCATCTAATAGTGACACTGCAGGAGGAGCGTGATAGCGCTCCCGGCACTTTTGGCGAAAGACAGGAGGAGCGCTCCCCGGCACTCTAGGGGTTAAAATTTCCCCTTTATATCCTACTTTCTCCAACCCTTAGTGTATACCCATTGCTAACTCTAACCAGTTTCCTTCCTGAAACCAGGGTTTGGCACATAGTAGGCACTCATTAAATATTTGTTGACATTTAATAAACTATTTGGGCCCATGTCTGCAATGCTATTGAAACTACTCTCTCCATGGTCCATCCTTTTCCTTTTTGTTCCTGTATCTGCTCAGTTCTCTTCTCTCTCTGTGCCCCCCCTGCTGCTTCCCGTGGTGACAGGTCCTCTTCCTGTCCAGCATGAGGGCACCGTGGCTTCCGTTCTTCGGGGCGCTGAGAGGTGGGCTTCCCAAAGGGGCAGTCACACAGCGTTTTCACGAAATAGCACAAGAAGTAAGGACTGTAAAGTAATTCCTAGTTTTGTTTCTTCCTTTAGTTATAATTTAATTACGACGAGACTAGGATTTGTGGCAGCGTGTTCTTCTGTGACTGTTCAGCGAATCTGCCTATTTCCCGTGGAAGGACACGGTGCCCGGGCAGATGGCCTAGGCCTTGCCCGCCACGCAGTGTCCAAAGCCCCCGGCAGGGCGGGGCCTGCACTGTGGGAATGTGCTGGGTAACTTTGAGGCTGCTGAATTCTTGGGGAAAGCTTCCAGATTTAGCGTATGAAGCTCAAATCCTTGTAAAATGAGACATTTACTTGTTTATGCTGTAATTTGTGCTGCGCAAAGTTTTGTGGTGAATGGGAATGTTCATTTCAATGTCAGCTTTTTTTATATAACTTACAGTACTTGACATAGTCAGGTAATCTGTTTTAATGATTGAATGTGTCAGTATTTATTAGATTTAAAACTAAGTCATGCTGGATCCAGACTCAGTGTGCCTCACTGTTCCAGAGCCCTGGGTAGTGGAGACTCCTAGGAAAAGAAATGTTCTCGATGGGTGCTCTACATCTTTTCATTGTTATCTAAACATTTCTGGTGAAAATGTATTAAACCTCTGTTTTTTTAATAGAACATAATAAACATAATACAACTTTTCTCTGCTGACAATATCTAGAAAGTACTCACATCTGATCACAGTGCCCAACCCCTTCCGCCTGCCTCTCCCACTCAAGGTAACCATCACCGCATTTGTGCACATGATTACTGTTCATGTCGTTCTATTGCAGTGTCTATATGTCTTCCTGAAAGTGCGTCTAGGTGTCTGATTTTCTATGAGGCATTATTTCGCATATATTCTTTTCGGACTTTTCCTGTTACTTTGTAACATTCATGCATATTGCTGACTGCTGTTGGGGTTCGTTTGTTTTGCTCTGCACTTTCTAAAAGTCAAGTAAAGTGTGAGGGAATCGCCACGTTCCTGGGAATAATGCACTCTGAGCCCCGATCATCTCACTGTTCCTCAGCATAAACTTACTAACCACTTGCTTCATCTGTTTAATTTTAAAGATGATCCTAAAGGATCCCTGTGCTGTTAGAACTCTGGTGTGTGCCTAGAAACATTTATATTCCCAGAGAAGTTACAGCAGGAAAGGAGTTCACCTGCGGATGCTAAGTGAAGGGCTGTCTCTCTGCTCCGTGGAGCACCCTCACTTCCTTGTTCTGTCCTTTCTGAGGTTCTGAGTGCGAGGGACACTCTCATGTTTCTGGAAGTGTCCCAATCTGATCTCAGGCGGCTCCATGTAATGGTCACTTGTTAGTCGGGCTTCCTGTGACCCTGCTGTGCCCTCCTAGGACTCTCTGCCTGGGATTGGTGACGTTTGTCTCATGTTTCTGGACAGGTGACTGGATGAGCCCGGGGTGTGGTCGTGTCATTTTAGTATTTGTGTTATGTGATTGAGTACAGGCCAGAAGCCAGACCTTTTATTTTATTTTTTAAAAATCACCATGAAATGGAATCTTCTGGACATCAAGAGACAGAGACCGACTGAAAGCTGAACTTATCCCAGCAGAGGTAATGCCAAGTGCAGGAGCCACAGACGTGCACTGCCCGCTCCTTCTTGCAGGCGGGAGCTTCAGTTACACACCATCTGGGGCAGAGGAGGGAGTGGGCCAGCCCACACGAGGCTCCTGCCTTTTGTGAGCCGGGTTCAGGGGGCCTTCTTTAGTTCACTCGTTTATTGGTGTAATACTTACTGAGGACATATTATGTCCTAGGTTCTGTTCTAGGCACTGGGGGAGCAGAAGGGAAAAAAAAACATATTAAATGTCTGACTTCCGGGGAAGACATAATAAACACCTAAAGTATTCAGTATGTTTAAAGAGCAGGTGCTATGGAGAAAAATAAAGGGTGTGTTGAGGGGTGCAGTGGAGGGAAGGCTCCATGCAGAAGGTGACATGGAGATGAAACTGGAAGGAAGGAAGCCAGGCATGCAGAGGCCGGACTCTGAGGCTGGAGAAGAGGGAAGAAGAGGTCCCGTGGGGGAGGGGGGAGAGGAGATGAGAGGGTAACAGACGCCAGACTGTGTGGCACTGTTTTGAGGACTCTCCTTTTCCTCCGAGTGAGATGAGGAACTGTCGGAGCATTTAGAGCAGAGTAGTGACATGAGCCGCCGACTTTTAACAGAGCTACTCCGGCAGCTGTTTTGAGAAGGGACTGGTCTTAACTTGAGAGTCAGTGAGGGATGGTCTTTCTCCCTGTCTTCTCATCTATAATAATAAAAGCATAAGATGAGCCAAAACCGGTTTGGCTCAGTGGATAGAGCGTCGGCCTGTGGACTGAAGGGTCCCAGGTTCGATTCCAGTTGGGGGCATGTACCTGGGTTGCGGGCACATCCCCAGTAGATGTGCGGGAGGCGGCTGATCGATGTTTCTCTCTCATCGATGTTTCTAGCTCTCTGTCCCTCTCCCTTCCTCTCTGTGAAGAATCAATGAAATATATTTTTTTTAAAAAAAGCATAAGATGCTAATTAGACCGGACGTCCTTCCGGACGACCCACAAGGGCTGAGCCCCTTGCACGAATTTTGTGCATCGGGCCTCTAGTATAAGCATAAAAAATCAAGCAGGTGGAACTTCTCTGCAGAGAGGGACTTTCCTGGGAAATTTGCAAATTCTAAAGCTCTCTTTCCTTGGCAAACACATATAGTCCATCTCCTGGGAGGGGACACTCACACTCTTGTTGCACTTTAAGAACTACAGGTATATGAAACAATTCTAAAAATCTCTAATAACCGGGGAAATGCAAAAAACCACAGTGACATCTCACTTCACACCTCTTAGAATGGCTGATATCAAAAGACAAAAAAGATAAGTTTTGATGAGGATGTGGGGAAAGGGAACCACGTGCACTGTTGGTAGGAATGTAAGTTGGTGCCACCGCTGTGGGAAACAGTACAGGGCTTCCCCAAAAACTTGAAAATAGAACTGCCATACACTCCAGCTACTTCAGTTCTGGGTGGGGATGAAGAGGAAATTAAAACAGTGTCTTGAGGAAGTAACTGAGCTCCCAAGTTGACTGCAGCATTATTCACAATAGTCAAGATATGGAATCAACCTAAGTGTTCGTCAGTGGGTGAATGGAGCCCAGCTGGCGTGGCTCAGTGGTTGAACATTGACCTATGAACCAAAAGGTCATGATTCAATTCCCGGGTCAGGGCACATGCCCAGGTTGCGGGCTCCATCCCCAGAGTGGGACTTGCAGGAGGCAGCCGATCAGTGATTCTCATCATTGATGTTTCTATCGCTCCCCCTCCTTCTCTGAAATCAATAAAAAATGTTTTTAAAAATCTGAAAGTTTAAAAAAAGGATGAATTGATAAAGAAGATGTGATACATACATACATACACACACACACACACATACACACACACACACAATGGAATATTAGCCTTTTAAAAAGAAGGAAATTCTGTCATTTGTGTCAACATGGATGAGCCTGGAGAACATCATGTTAAGTGAAACAAGCCAGGCACAGAAAGACATGCTGCATAGTTTCACTTATAGGTGGAATCCAGAAAAGCCGAGCTCATAGAGTAGTGGGGGCTGCCAGGGGCTGGGCGGTGGGGGCAGTGGGAGCCATTGGTCGAGGGAACAGTCACGCAGGATGAGTGGTTCTGGAGCCCCACGGCACATGGTGACTGTAGTGAATACTGCTGTGTTGTCTATTGTAGTCTCCCTTATGCTTTCTGTGGTTTCAGTTACCAAGAGTCAACTGTGGTCCGAAAACATTAAATCGAAAATTGCAGAAATACACAGTTCATAAGTTTTCAATTGCATGCCATTCTGAGTATGTGCGATGAAGTCGTCCGCCTTGGCCATCAGACCAACTGTCGCAGTGCACCAGTGCTCATGCTCAAGTCACCCTTATTTTACTTACTGAAGGCCTCGAAGTGCAAGAGTGGCGATCCTAGCAGTTCACACATGTCAAAGAGAAGCCGTAAAGAGCTTCCTTTAAGTGAAAGGGCATCTATGTATAGGAACAAGCAGTATACATAGGCTTCAGTACTAGCCAGTTTCAGGCATCCACTGGTCTGGGAAGGTATCTGTGCTAGATATGCTAGATCTTAAATGTCATACACACACACACACACACACACACTGTAACTGTGACACACACACACACACACCCACGGTAACTGTGAAGTGATGAATATGTAAATTAGATTAATTGTGGGATCACTTCACAATGTATACATATATCAAAACATTACATTTTACATCTTAAATATGCACAATGCTTATTTGTTAATTATACTCCAATAAAACTGGGAGAAAAAATAATAATAGATGTTTATAGTGTGCTCATCCTCTCTGGTGGATCAGAGGGTTTCAGGGCCATAATGGGAATCTTCCACAAGGTCTCCCATGATGCCCAGCGACCTTACCTTCAACTCTGACTTCACATGGCTTACTAGCCTCTTACAAGCCAACTGCTTTTTAAAAAGTTAGTTTTTGCCCAGCCCATGGCTCAGTGGTTGAACATCAACCTGTGAACCAGGAGGTCACGATTCGATTCCTGGTCAGGGCACATGCCCGAGTTGTGAGCTCGATCCCCAGTGTGGGGCGTGCAGGAGGCAGCCAATCAATGATTCTCTCTCATCATTGATGTTTCTATCTCTCCCTCTCCCTCTCCCTCTCTGAAATCAATAAAATAATATATATTTTTAAAGTTTGTTGTTTAGAACTCAAATTTTTTTTTCTCTAGCAGAAAATTATTCATGTTTTTTCCATGAACTTAAAAATAATTAACATGTTTTGGGGAGATGAAAAAAAGTATTAAGAAAAGATGAAAATCACCCATAAAAACATCTAGGAAAAAACCCCTATAAACATTTTAGTGTCTTTAAATCTTTATATTTTCGCATAGTCGCGATGTTTATACAATTTTATTCTTTTTACTCAACATTATAAACATTTGCCATATTGCAACATTCCATGACATAATTTTTAATGACTGAATAGTATTCATCAAAATGAATGAATCAAAATGTACTCATCCACCCTCTGGTTAACATGTAGGTTGCAAGAACTCAATCCCGATTCTTACCCAACCACCATTACACAAATAATCATGCAGTTTAAAAGAATGATCCATATTTCAACAGGAGAACAGAGTATGAAGGGAGCATGTGCACGAGAAGCCAAATATAGTCTGGGGTCTCGGGGAGACTTCTCTGAGGAAGTCATGTCTAAGGGGCTCTGAAAGACCCTCGGACATGGGAGGAGTGGAAAGAGCATTCCCTGAAGAGGGCGCCATTTTCGTGCTGAAAGTCTGGGTTGGGGAGGAGTGTGTGTTTGGGGTCAGGGGAGGGGGAGAGTGGCAGGAGGTGACGCTTGTCGGGTAGGCAGGGGGCAAATCATAAAGAGCTGTAGAGGATAAGTTTAAGATTTTAGTCTATCTTAAAAAAAAAAAAAGCCCCTGTAGAGTTCTAGGTAAGGGGGCAACATCACCAGGATTTCGTTGTGCAGACATTGCTTGGACTCTGGTATGGAAAACAGGTGGGCGAGGAGGGCGGTGCAGGTGTCAGGAGACCTGTCAGCTCGGGAGGGAGAGGGGATGAGGAGGCAGCACAGAGGACGGGGGCTGATTTGGAGACATGGGAGGGAGAGATAGCGAGCTGGTGATTGGATGAAGGAGGGAGGAAGATGTCGAGAACCCCTCTGTTTCCTGGCGGGGACAGTGGATGGATGATGGGGCCACAGGAGGAGGGGCAGGTCCAGGGAGTGCAGTTTGGGGACACGTTGAGGCTCAGCTCAGTGCCTCTGAACCATCCAATGAAGATGTCAAGGAACAGTTGTATTTTGGGATCTGAGTCTATAACCGGACAATCAAGGGGTCCATGCTGCCTGTCACTACTTGAGCCAATTAAGCAGAGAGAGAGTGGAATCATGTATGAGCGTTTATTCCAATATTGTGGCAATATAAGAGCAGCAGGTCACCCACAAAAATCTCCTCTGTCTCCCCTCCCCCACTCCCACCCCCCATAAGTCAGCTGCTTATATTGAGTAGAAGGACAAAGATTACATAGGGAAGTAGGCAAAATGATATGTCAAATGGGCAGTTTACAGGTAATACAGGCTGGAGATTTGCAAAGGCCTGCGGCTAAGCAAGGGCTGGGGGTCTTCAAAGGGCTAGAGGCTCTGGTTTCTGCAACAAGGCTGTTCATCTGTCCATGACAATAGGCTGCATCTCCAGGCGAGCTCCCAGGTCCCCGGTGCAACCCCCAGCCAGGTTAGAATGTGCCTTCAATAATCAGAACAAAACCATCACGGTTAACAGAGCGTGATTAATATTTCTCACAATTCTAGCTGGTCCCCAGCATTCTATTTCTGCCCCTATCAAGTCCAGAAGAAATCTCTCTGCTGGAGATCACATTTAAGAGTTATTGGCATCTGAATGGTATTTGAAGTCACGAGGTATGATTGTCAAGTATGGTGCGGAGACAGCCTGGAGCAGAGCCCGCGATGGAAGCTGCGCTTGCTGCCCAGGTAGATCGCCTTCAGGACTAAAAGTCTTGTCCCTCTGCTGTTAGCTGGCACTTAGCTGTGAACCCTCTCCGGGTATTGCCCTGGGCTGAGGACAGCCACCTTGCCCAAGTCTTCACCTGCTGGGGAAGGGCACCCAATCTCAGTGAAGGACGACTGCAAAGGGCCAGCCTAGCTGCAGAGGACCCGGGAGATGGCTGAGGCCTTTGTTGGGAATGTGTTGCCGTTCAAGTTCTCTGCCTGACCAAGTCTGCTTCCTCTCCTTCCCGCTCCATCCTGAGCGCTCTCCCAGTAAATGCCTGCATCCCAAGCTCTCAGCGTTGGCTTTGGGGGAACCTGTTCTGGAACCCAAACTTTCCACTCAGTGGTGACTTATTTTACAACAGACTGGACAGCTTTTGTTGAAGAGACAGCTGATGGATCATTTAACAGGAAGAGAGCCTCGGAATGCCTTTTAAAGACAACGTTCTAGGCAAAATACAAAAACTCTCATCAAATTATTTCTTCCCGAGTGCATCCCCAGGCTTCCGTGGGAAGAGCTCTGTGTAAGTCATCCTGCTTGTGTGAAGCTGATGTCAGTTTCACCCACAGGGCTTGCCTCCTTCACTTCGCTGTCCTCAGCCCTTCCTGCCACTCAGAGGAGAAGTTGGGACTAGCCTTTCTGCCATGGCCTCTCTGCCTCGCCATTGTCCTTCCCCCCTTTAAGTCCGAAGTCGGCAATGACCCATTTCCTTTTTAAGTGGTAAGAGAGCTTCATGCTTTTCATAGCTCTCTGACTGCTGTTATTTGAAATTTAAATATAGAGCTCCTAGCAAGAGTCTGAGCATAGCTTCCCTTTATGCTTGCCTCTGGGAGAGTCTTAGAACAGATTTCTAAAAGGCTTATATTTCTACCACACCATTAAATTTGGGATAACATTCTTAAACTGACAGCGTGATTTATAATGAGACATTTAAAGTGCTTTTATCATCTCTTTCATTGGAGATATATCTATACATGGAGACAAAGCAAAACTCTTAGTGCCGAGACGTGATGACACTGATCACAGAGACCCGGCTCACTGACATGTACGTATGTAAAGTAATTATTTTCACATAAAGCCTCCTCCTCTGAGTCCTTTGGAAAAAGACTCGCATTTGTTCACTTTCCTCCCACTTCCCGTTCTGACAGGAGTGTCTCAGGGAATGGGAATAAAATGTGAAAAAGGCATCAGTGAAAGTAAAGGCAGGCTTAGCATCTGATGGGCATGGGGGAAAGGAGAAGCAGGAAAAGGACACGAATGTGTGATAATTATCTCTTTTCCATGGGAGGAGATCAAAAGAATTTGTTTTATTCTTCAGGCTGAGAGATGGCTGTCAATTCAGGGATGTTTTCTGACATTAAAAAATCACCAGCCCAGCTGGCGTGGCTCAGTGGATGGAGCGTCAGCCTACGGACTGAAGGGTCATGGGTTCGATTCTGGTCAGGAGCGTATGCCTGGGGTTGTGGGCTCGGTCCCCAGTGGGGGGCGTGCAGGAGGCAGCTGATCAATGATTCTCTCTCATCATTGATGTTTCTATCTCTCTCCCCCTCTCCCTCTCTGAAATCAATAAACATATATTTTTAAATAATCACCAAAGGGGGAAAAAAGAACAACAACACCCCACATATGTGTCCCAAGTAGCTAGGGGGGAAAGTGTATGTAGAAAACAGTGAAGGAAATCACAAGAAATAATAAAAATAATAAAAAATGTAAGACAATTGTCTTATTGTCAGACTTAATTATAAGTATTTAAATTCCCATGTTAAAAAGGTTCCTTAAAATGACCTAGTCAAGAAATAAAGTGCAATTTTAAAAGGCTGGGAAGAACAAATAGAATCTGTAGAAGAAAGGGTTTGCCACTGTGTTTTAGATAGGGAGGAACTCAAATCACAAAGCACTAAATGGACAAATAGATCAAATAGATTCTTTTACGTTCATTAAAGCAAAGTTCACAAAAAGATGCAAACTTGTGAGGCTAATATACCAAATAACACAGCTTTAATGCAAGGAGAAATGTCACAAAAGTAATGGCACATAACAGCACCCCTCTCTAATTCCTTGACAGGTCAAGCAAGTAAAAACAAAATCAATGAGTGTACAGAAGATTTAAATAACTAACAAACTTGATTTAATAGTTATGTATAAAATCTATATTTATATAGAATATAATTTCTTTCCTTATATTCAGAGAATTTTTACAGAAATAATTCATATCTTAGACCACAAAGAAAATGTAATACACTCCCCAAAGCAGAGAATGTACAGAAAACACTCTTGGACCACATGCAATAAAACTAGAAACTAGTCTTAAAAGAGATAAATTAGCAATGAGAAAAATAGCATTTAGAAATTAAAATGAAAAACAAACTTATTTTACTGAATGACTGGAGTCAGAGAAGCAGATCTTTAGTTATAAAATAATTGAGGAACTGTAATGAAAAAGCAAATATTTCAGAAGTAAATTAAAATAAGAGCATTAATTTCTTTCATTATCAGACAGGGACAAGGCAAATCAATAAACTAGATATCTGTCTCAGGAAGTTCAAAAGAGAAAAATGAGATAAACTTCAGGAAATGAGGTAGAAGAAAATAATTTTTTAAAGTATAAATTGGTAAATTAGAAAACTTAAAAATGATTGCCATAAGAGATGAGTCTTTAAAATGCTTATCTAATAATTGAGTAAAAGTAGATATTTGTTTTACACTTAGAGATGTTGTTCTAAGCACTTTGCCTGTATTAACTCATCTAATCTTTATAACAACCCAATAGTACCCTCAATTTACAATGTGGAAATTGGGTCACAGAGAGGTTAAAAAACTACCCAAGGTCACAAATCTAGCAAGTGGCAGAAGGGGGAATCCCAGACAGTCTGGCTCCAAAGACTGTATCTTTAAGTCCCACACTACACTCAAAATTATTCAGGAAACTGGTTACAAATTCATAGAAACAATAAATAGCAATTAAAATTTTTAAGTGAAAACAATGCATCTAATTTTATGCTGAAAACACAGATTTAAAAATATTCTTTGTAAGTAATTGATGGTGAAAGCCTCCTAGAATTATCAGATGAGGCTCAGAAGAACAAGTGTGTCTTTCATCCAGTCTGGGCCATACACTGCCTTAAGGGCGTATTATTAGGTCAAGAGTAAAGCCCGTGAACTTTGAACTGTGGGTGCGGTGTTGTGGTGGACAGGTATCTGTTGTTGGGACTAGTCGGCACTCCCGTCCACTTTGGGAAATGCTTCCTTCCTTTCTTCCAAGAAATGCCTTTGTCCACTTCTGCGTGTGGCATGGGACCAGGGCTCAAATCCCAGTTCCTGGTGTTTTGTGACCTTATGTGACCCGTGTGCTCACGGTGCATTGTGAGGACAGCAGTTTATGTTTGTGCACTGCTTGCTCTGAGCTAAATGCTTTTCCCACGTTATCGCCTTCACACCTCCCACCAGCCCCCTCCTGCAGGCACTACATTGTGCAAATGAGGGACATGGTCCCAAAGAGCCTGGAGCAGCCCCCCCCCCCCTCTTCTCCTTCCCGCAGGCAGGGCGAGCAGGGCAGGGCCTGGGCCCCCTGTGCCTCACAGCATGGTTCTGGGAGATCTTCAGAGGCGGTGCTTTTCCCAATAAATGTGCTTTTCCAGTTTTCCTACAGGCGCGGGGATGGCCTGTTACGGGGTGTATTACATTTTATGTGCGTGTGTGACCAGAATCCCTGCCACTTTCTCGAAACCATTTTGTCCCGCGCTGGTTGTGGCCATGCATGAGAAACAGCAGGTGGTGCCAGATGACAGATGGTGTGGGAGCCCGGTCCCCGGTGGGAGGGGGCGAGCGAGCGCGCAGGCAGGCGGCTGCCAGCAGCTCATCCCAGCTCGCTCGCTGGCGGCGCCTGCTCGCAGAAGCT